AGGGTTCGAGGGATCGCTGGAAAAGGAGCATACAAGTTGAAAACCATAGATGGCAAGGTGCTACCATCGAACTAGAATACAGTTTATTTGAAGAAGTATTACTTCTAGACGAGGAAAATACCCACGATCAGGTATCACGCAAGTTCAATTTTATTTTGTTCTTTTGAATTTTACTAACAAATTTAGGTGATAGGCAAAAAGGTAGCCCGTACCAAATAATGATATTAAACCCGAAAGACACACGGAGTAATGAGTTATTCCCGGTCTAGGTTACAACTTTTTTGATGGAAAAGGGGTTATGCAGTCATCATCTAAATAATTATCTCTGAGCCCTGTTCGTATTTACTTTTTCGGTAATGGACCAAAAGAAATGAGTGATCCAGTGTTCGAGATTTCATACTTCAAAGCTCCAACACTGAGGGACTATGCATATAGAAGGAAGCAAAAATAACCAAAGGCATAGTTCAGCCTGAGTTAGAAACATTGAAGAAATCCTTGAAAGCTTGAAAATTTTTCAAAGGAGTTCGAACTCGTGAAAAGGATGCAAGATATTCCATATTCCCATGAGTTTTAGGTTAAGGACTAAAATTTAGTCATGGGATAATAGACCCGAATTTGTATTTGTAAACCTGCTACAATGAAAGCAGTTATGAATGTGTTGCATGAATAGTTATGAGAATGATGCACGAAATTTATTTGAAAGTTCATAACATAAAACTTTCTCAAATTACTTCTCTTTTCATGTCTACTTTATGTTTCATATATTTGCACCAATATGAAAATGAGACGTTATTTCATCAGTGTCGTTAACATAAAATGGCCCTCTTTTATAAAAATTCATGTTTATCAAAGTCACAAATTATTAATGCATTTTTAAATGCAAGAGAAAGCTCGAATATTAAAAGGGCAAAGAGCATAATATGCAACAAAAGCAACTGAAATATTTATATATTAACCCTAAAACAAGGGTGATAAATTTGTCATCTAACCCCAAAAAGACAGGGGCAACAAAAACAAACCTTCCAAAAAGTTGTTAAACTAAGGAAAAAGCAACATAAGGGAGTTCCAAATAAAAGCCAACAAAAGAGTAAGGAAAAGGAGAAAATCTAAGGAGCATCATCAACGGGAGAAGAAGTATCAACTTAGGGAGAAGAGGTTTGAAAATCAGCTCCGCCAGGAACAAGTCCATCTCCATCACCCTTAGAACCTCCGTCTTCAGCTGTGGAAAAGCTTTGACATTGCTGAGTTTTATCAATTGCTTCTTTAGCCCTAGTAATATCAACATTAAGGTCAAAACCTTCCTGGTTGGCTCAATTAAAGTCTCAAGGCGAGTGTTCTGAAAAGCCCAGCTAACATCTAGCGATAACTTATCCTCAAGGGCCTCGTAATCCTTCTCCCACTGATCAATCTCAGCTCTCAGCTCTTCTTTTCTGCTTCCGAGGCTTCATAGGCTGTCTTCAAAGGGGAAAGAGAACTTTCCAAGAACTACATTTTATCTTTAGAGGTGCGGAGATCTTCCTGAGCTTGTGTAAGTGTTTGAACCTATTCACCCGCCTAAACCTCTTTTTGATTAAGGAGTTCTTTTAAAACCCTTATCTCTTCAGTAGCCTTGTAAAGCTGTTCAGTAAAAGAGGATTCCAGTCTATCCTTATCCTTCCCGACTTGACTGGAAGAAGCTTTTTCAACCGCTAACTCCGCGGAAACCATTCTCATTTGTTTCTCCAAAGCTTTATTCTCTTCTGCAAGAACTTCCTTTTCAAGTGGAAGACCTTCAAATTGTTCTTTCCAGTTATCAGCCTCGGTACGCAATTCAATAATTTGATGGCCAGTCTAAGAAACTCTTTTTATAAGCTCTATGCCAATCAAATTAATCTACAAAAGAGGTAGGGGAAGAAGATTTATGAATGAGGAAAAAGAAGGAAGAAAGGAAATGTAATTAAACTTATACCTTCAAATCAAAGAAATGAACAATGTCATTCATTAAGGTCAATGAACTATGGCTTTCCAACCAAATTTTTGAGATAGAAACTTCCAAGATCTTTTGTCCATAAGAGCAGCAAAGTAAAAGAAAGAGAAGAACTATGAGGGTGAAAAATACTGTGAGTCTTCACTTTCCAACTAAATTGTTGAGAAAAAAAACTTCCAAGATCTTTTGTCCATAGGAGCACGAGTCAACATCTTTTCTACCCAAGTACGAAAGTCAGGAATTTCTTCAAAGACTTCCATGGTTGCTAAGAAAATAGGTATATGGTTACATGAAGGAATTCAAGGCATATAAAATAAAAAAGAAAGAAGAAAACTTACATGGAAAGTTTTATTTTTCTGGAAAAGGCATATTTTCTTCACCCACTAACTCACTAGTGGGGGCAGTAATAAAGCGGGCGTACCAGCCACGGTCCCGGTCATCCTCAGGCTAACCAACACTCTTTTACTTCTAGCCACGAGGGAAAAGACTCCTTCACGAAACAACTTGGGGGAGTAAATATAAAGTAAGTGACGAAAACCAAATCCGACAAATAACGAAGGCATGCTACATCCCTCCACATGATGGGACCAATATGGCCAAGGCACACGTTAAAATAGTGACAAATTCAATGATCACTGGATCAGTGGGAGGCTTAAACCCTAAAGTAAAAGGATAAGTATAAACAAAAGAAAAACTAGCATGGTAAGAGGTGATTCTTTGGTTAGCACCAGGGATTAAAAATGAGAAATCTGGTTTCCAATGACATTCTCGTCGAACTAAGGAATGAAGATCGAGAGTGATTAAACGTGGATAAAGTTCAGCGGTGTTAAGGGAAGCTATTGAAGAGACTTGATTTCTTATGGTTTCACGGTCTGTTATAAAAGAAAACTCTTGAGGAACAATCTCAGCAATTGTAGGTTCACGCACAGGTTCATTAAGGTACCTATTTCTAGAAGAAGATTTAGGGGTTAGAGGAGCCCTAGGTTTAGAAGAAGATGGCCTGGCATAACTACTTTGATAAGAGGAACCACAGTTAGATAGCGAACCAATACTACCACCTCTCCTACTTCTAGTAGGAGCAGTAGAAGGAGCAAGTTCGTCAAAGATCAAAACTTTGCGAGGGTAGACATGTTTAACAATGGAAATACATAAGAAAGTTGCAGAGACACAAAGAAGGACTAAGGTAATGGGTAAAGAAGGAAGAAGGTTTTAAGAAATAAAAAAGAATGAAGTATTTATAAGGAGATACAATCGTGGTTAAAATTGGTCATTATGAAGCGTCATAATGGAACCATCACTTCGTGACTAACGCAACCGCAAAAAAAAATCCTAAAAAGCGCTGAGAAACTGCAGATCAAATCATAAGAAGCCACGTGGCATGGGCATTAAATGAATGTGGCATACGTCACATCGATTCTAAAGGAGGCATAATGATACTCGAGAAACGGCGACAAAGAATTCCCGCCATAAAAACTTACCACTTCCTGAATATTTAGTTAAGAATATTCAGAAATTGGAGGGACTATCTGTATTGGTGGAAAAAAGACATGACATGTAGATTATCAACAAACTGATGGGGTGTGACACGTGGAACATCAATATAAGGACAAGTGGTATTATCAATTAAGACGAATTAGAAATGTAGAAAAGGCACGGGAGAAACACCCACAGGGTTATATTGAGGAAAGAATCGGACCTGACAGTTGTTAAAGAAAAACCAAAAGCGAAATGAATGAAGGATGCAAAGAAGGGAAAATACACAAATCTGAAGTAAATAAGGAAGGAAAATCAGTGCAGTTACATAGAATCTTTAGCCATAAATGTATCAGTTACGGTTACATATGATAACATGCAATCAATACAATTAATACCATTAGTGAGCCCAAATTAAGTGTGCAAACCGTTATAATTGTATGCTCCTATATAAGGACAAAAATCGCATTTGTAAGGGCAAGCTACGATCATTATTGAAATCCATAATATTATTCTTTGCTTTATTCTTCAAGTTTTAAGCCTTAATTTTGGGGAGTGATTATCAACGCATTTCTTATTTTCCTTTGTCAATCATTTCCATTCTTTGATCTATTAGTCCAAAATTGTTGGGAAAGTGAAGTAAATCTTGGTTATCAGTAGCCCGATTTCTTCTAAATATTGACTTTGATCGAGAAATCTATTTTTGGTTAAAAAAATTAGTTTCGTTACCGGGAATCTGATAATCTGTTCACTTTACAATATTTAACAATCAAATATGTCTACCATTAACGAAAACAACCAGCTGAACTAACAAGGTGCAACTCCACCTCACCACACACCAACAGGATCTCCCCAACAGTCATGTGGGAGTTCGCCTGCAAGGTCCACCTCTTGCGCTGATGATCCCCATGGAGACGACCAAACTGTGGAGCAAGACGCCCTAAAGCAATTGATTGTGGAGCATGTGAATAATGCGCTACAAGCTTTTGTCAGAGAATTACCTAATGCGGCGCAAACTCCTCCACCAGTTAATACATCAACTTTGGAGAACCCGCGTTCAAGGCTTGATAATTCTGGAAGTGGAGAAAATCCTAATGAATCCTGTGATGGAGGGTCAGATACTCTAAATAATTCTAATATACAAAGTTTAGTGCTAACTTTGCAGAAATGGTTGAAGGAACAGAACGTTCGTATAGAAAAGATACCAGGCGTACCACTCGTAATCAAAGGGGTAGATATTTACAAGTACTCACAACAACCTTGGAAGCCAAGTGCAGCACCTTTACCAATTTCTAAAAAGTTTAAAATGCCTGATACTCCCAAATATGATGAAACAACTGACCCTCGAGATCACGTGACTGCGTTCACTACTGGCGTGAAAGGCAACGACTTAACCAAATAGGAAATCGAATTAGTTTTGGTTAAAAAGTTTGGTGAAACACTCACAAAGGGAGCATTAACGTGGTATTCTCTTTTACCTGAAAATTCTGTTGATTCTTTTGTTGAGCTTGCAGATTCATTTATAAAAGCACATTCGGGAGCTCAAAAAGTTGAGAAAAGGATGGAAGACATATTTAAGGTTAAACAGAGGAATACAAAATTGCTTAGAGAATTCGTAGATAGATTACAACGGGAGAGGATGATGTTACCTCGAGTACCTGATAACTGGGCGGCTATGGCATCCGCTAGCAACTTGAAAGAGAAACGTTCAGAAGCCACGAGAAGGCTGAAGGAAAGTTTGCGAGAATTTCCAGCAAAAACTTGGAACGATGTGTACAACAGGTACAGTACGAAGTTGTGGATAGAAGAATATACGGTCGCACAACCAAGGGCCGATGAAAGGGCAGGATCGAGACGTGCAGTATCAGAAAAAAGGTCCGGTAAAAACAGGTATGAGCCGTACATGGGACCTGTTGGGCGAGACTCTCGATCTAAACAGGAAAGCGCACGATTCGACTCAAGACCAAGGCAAAAAGAAACGAGTTCTTCATATAGGTTCAAAAAGGAACGGGATGCTCGAAGCAATGATTCCAATACACAAGCGAGGATAGGAGATTACAGCTTTAATATCAACACCTCCATGTTAGTAGTTATTTTAAGAGGTATGGGGGATAAGGTGCGGTGGCCTAAAGAACTGAGATCAGATTCAAGCAAAAGAAATTCAGATTTCTGGTGCGAGTTTCATAACGATCATGACCATAGAACATCATATTGTAGACTTCTGCAAGGAGAAGTCGAGCATTTCTTGAAGCAAGGTTATCTTACTGATTTGTTCAGTGAGAAAGGAAGACAATCATACATGAAGAACAGACAAGAGCCCCCAAAACCTCCATCACCAAAAAGAACAGTCAACATAATAACTGGGGGAGATGAGGTCAATGGAGTAACCTATACTGATGCAAAAAAAAGCGACAAAAGTCACGGTTACTCACGGGAAGCGAGTTTGCCAGGTCTTTGATAGTGACAGTCTAACATTCGATGATGAGGATGAGGACGGCTTGATAATTCCTCATAACGATGCACTGGTAATATCTTTACTTGTACATGATATTAACGTAAAATGAGTTTTGATTGATCCAGGTAGCTCAGTGAATATAATTTTACTGATGGTGGTGAATGAAATGCAAGCTAATGATAAGGTGATACCAAAACCTTGTCCGGGTTTGATAATTCAAGTGTTATCACGAAAGGAGAAGTTGTACTCACCACATTCACATAAGGAGTTGTCAAGGATACAAAGTTCCAGGTGATAGACGCGGACGTGACCTACAATATAATTCTGGAAAGACCATGGATTCATGATATGGACGATGTCCCATCCACATTGCACCAAGTTATCAAATTTCCTTCACGGTGGGGAATCCGTAAAAAACGTGGAGATCAGCAAGCTTCAAGAAGTATGTAGCACGAGATCTATCGAGTAGATAGAAATATTGAAGACATAATAATAACCAAGTTGGTCCACAATTTCTCTTTCATTATTATATTCTCCTACAGCAGAGCAGACAGTTTAACCTGCTTTTTGATCAAAGGCTCGCTACTTAACTAGCTGAATACTGATATTTTTGGCTCAAATTAACCTCTATTTGATTACCAAACTAGGGGATGAAGCACTTGCGGCGGTTGCTCCTAAGTGGCTGCCAACAAATTGGGGATGTTAGCCATGTCAAGAGGACGCCCTGAACTCAAATTCTTGAGATTTGAGTTGCCAAGGGCCTCATGTTGTTGGTAAGTTTTTGAACATTTCCATTTCTACTTTGAGATTTTGTTGTATATGAAAACTGGGACTTTGTCAGGATAAAAGGACTTCAGGTTCGTTTGTATGGAGACTCTTGTCATTTATTTCCCTCTTGATATTCTTAAATTTATCATCTCTTATTATTAGGCATGATGACAAGCATTAGGGAAGTTGACAGCCATGCGCTGAAGTTGCCAGGTAAAATATGTACGAATTACTGGGAGCAAAAGAATATAAACCCCTTAATCCCACCAAAGTAAGAAAGAAATGTGTTATATTTTAATACAACTTGTAATAAAAATCTTCCCATATAATAACGCTGCAAGCAGTGGCGGATCCAGGATTCCGAACAAGGGTGTTCAATATTATAAAGAAGTGAACAGTAAAAATTTCATCGAAGGGGTTCATCGAAATTTGTTGAATCCAAATGTAATGTCAAACAGGTGCATAAAATAAAATCTAAATAGGAACTAAACTATCGTCGAAACTCATGCTAACGATATGTTGAAAACGCACACGTACTAACGATTTATATTTTATTTTATTTTATTTGGATAGTAAGAGATTGAGATTTTTTCCTTCCTATACAATATTAATCATTGTAACTTATGCAGCAGAAGGGAATAAAATATCAACAATTATCACCAAAGATCGAGTCTAAAGTATCTCAATTCTAAAAAAACCAGCAACTATTTTCCATAAGTTTATCAAAGCAAATGCAGAAAACTCAATAATTTACATTATTTAAGTCTACAGATTCAAGAATCAAAAAACAACAAACAAGAGATATTAACCTAAATTAAGAATAACCAATAAAATACTAATAAAATTCTGAAAAAGTTAGAAAGAACAAGAAATTTACCTCGGATGCCAATGCCATGACAGAAGAATAGCAAGTAGCAGCAGCAAGGTAGAGAGATTGAAGAGAGAGAGGGAGTGGAGTGAGCCAGTGAGGCAACGAAGAGAGAGAGAGATTTAGGGATTTTAACCCAAAGTCAGCCACGTTTTTGGGGGAAAATATTAAAAGAGACGAAACGAAACGACGTTGTTTCGTTTAAAAAAAAATTAAAAAGTCTGAGGTAAAAAGAATTAGATTGCAGCTGACGGGAATTAAACCTGCGACCTTCTACAAAATCTGAACACCCTTGACCACTAAACCAAGCTTTTGGCTTGTGTCCAGGGTGTTCAACATATTATATCTATACGTAAAAAACTAAAATTACCCCTATATAAACAGTGTAATTTTTCGACGAAGCCCCCTAAATCCGCCCCTGGCTGCAAGTGCATCACGCCAGCAACACTACAATATCGAACTACAAAGAATCAATTTGAGTGAAGGTCTTTTTGCTGTTCAAGTTCCGTCTTCACTTCAACTCGACAAACGATGATAAGCCAAATCTTTTCTTGTGTTGAAGCCAAGGACGAGCGTTGGAATAAGAAAATATTACTGGGGTACCACCGTACCAGTAGTTGGTTATACAGTTAAAACTATTGTATTACATAGTTTCTGTTATGTAATATATTATATGCTCAAGATATCTAATAATATGAAAGCACAACTTTTTTCCTTCATGATAACTTTTCTTAATTATATGTCTTGTTATTTTATTTGCTTATGCTATTCAAGGTATGGGGTTGGTGTGCGGCTTGTTCCCTTCAGATGTGTAGGATAAAATGGTCAAGGCAACCATGCTCGTGCTATGCATTTTCAAGGATATATTTTATTTGTCTTTGGGAAAAGATGTTTTATTTGACGCAGATTGGACTACTACGTGCAAATCTTTTGCGATTGTGTGCCAGAGTCACAAGGTATGCAATTCTTTTACAGGAAAAGGTTACAAATGCAGTTACAACTGTAGGTGTTACATTAAATCAACACCTTGATAGGAGTCTGGTTTTCTGGAAAACAAATTCCTTTTCTATATATAATAACTAGTGAACTTGCCGCGCTTCGCGCGGTTTAAGAAAAACTTCTTTATGAAATGATCTTCTAATATTTGAATATTAAAAATAATAAAAATAGGTTATATATACCTAATTGTTTACCTTGTTATTTTATATCATGTTGGGTTTCACAAAAGAAAGGAGAAAGATAAAGAAGAGAAATTTCTTTTTATTTTCTTGGCATAAGCTATTCACAATTTACTCTTTTAGTTGCTTGACACGGGTACACACTTTTTTATCTTTATATATAAAAAAATTAAAGTGAATAGGTATTTTTTTTCTATTCATGAAATATAGAAATCTTATTATGACATACATGTAAAATCCACGAATATACACAAATCTTTGTGGGGAGAAACCATTACCACTGCATGTCTACCGTCTGTCGTTATCACAATCACTTCAAACTGCGACTATTTTTTGTTCGTTTGAGATCTCTCCTCATGTAGATTTGATATGTCCAAAAGGAATGAAACATTGGAGGGTAAAAACTTGAATGAGAATGGTGCTCTATCAAAATGAAAGGGTGTTACTTCTCTGTTTTTTGATGTTGCAAGTTGCAATCACGTTAGGAACATATGGCAAATATTAATAAGTAAAAAGCAAAGTACAGCTATTTTAAATTGAAGGGAACTACTAACAATTTCACTTTTGGAGATGAAAATTTTAATTGGACCACATTAAAAATATTACTAAATTGTGTTTTAATGAATTTAGCTAAAATAGGAAAGATAAAAATATCATAAGTAGCCAAACATAAATAATTTCTATAAATTGATAAAATCATAATTTTTTTTCAATGTTATCTATGAGTGCAATTTTGGTCCTTCAAGCACCGTACATGACACAATCTATGTATGAGGGCATGCAAATGTTCCTACTTCTTGGCAACCTATTAAAATATGGTCCTAAGTACCCTGCCTACAATAATCCTCATTGCCGTTATGCAGGTCCGCGCCTGCCAAAGGAGATGTCTTTTTATTTTTCATAGACAATACTTGAGGAAGAATATTTAAACTTATAGTATTAAGTTATCTTTGGAAAAAAGAATGAATTGGTTAATATCCTCAATACGGAGTATTTAGCCTTGGCAATAGGAAATATGAGCATTTCAACAAAGAATGAGATTACTATGAAACATTCCATTTACATTAAATCTTTAAAGCTATTAAATGCATGTAATGGGTGATGCATTTTCCTTCTGCATTTATATATCTTTAATCTCCATAAATCTTGACCAAAAAAATCCATAAATGCACCTCCTCATGATAAGCATTCAGCCTTATTGAACAGTTCCTCCATCACAGTCATTTTTTAAGTTAAATACAAATTGAGAAGTAGTTTAAATATATCAAATAAGTAGTTTAAGTCGTGAAAATGGCAATGTATCATTATTGATGATCCAAGACTATACATATTGATTAAATTAAAAGAAATAATATTTATTTAATAAATAGACAGATAGACTGAAAAAATTATGACTATGCTTAACAGTAAGCCCGCACACGTTTGTATAAGCTCACCAATATACAGTCTCCCTCCATATCTTATTTAGGCACACATTTCATTTTCCAAACTTTTTGCTATGAACTTCACATAATTGTCAAGTGATGCCATCTAAAGGTTTTAAAGTCCACCAATCTATTCTTAAGATACATCACTGATCCTTGTCCTGAAAAGTGAAACCCGTTGAGGTTGAGAAGAGCTTTCCTCAAAGCGGAAATTTAATCACTTCACATTACCAGCCTCATTTCTCAATAAAGTCCTGTAAATGTCTGGTGTCCTTCTAGTTTAAAATTATACAGCATATACAAAGCATGTAGATTTTCTGTATTTTATTAGAAAAGAGTGTTGTAAATTTTAACTTATATGGAACCGCTATATAAGACCCAAGAAAATACATGATTTAACATCATTTTCATACCTTTATCGGGATGTAATTTGTGTCAGACAACCTTT